ATATGGATATTACAATTGATGGTGATGGAAATGTGGGAAGCAAAAATGATAAAAGTGATGATGATGATGAAATAATTGGAATAGAAATAGTAAAGAAGAAGACAGTGATAGTGATAATAATATTGAAAATTGTATTTAGATATTTATTTTTTTATATTTTTTTTAAAAAAAATGTAATGCATGATGCGCACCAAGTGCCAGAAACAAAAAATTTATTATTCGAAAAGTAGTGCCAAAGTGGTATTCGTAATTTGATTGTTATAATAATGTAAATAAAGATTTATTAGATAGTTAGATCATATAAGCATGTAACAATAATACACCAATTATAAAAAAATGAGATGATGATAATTAATCTATTTTTTTAAAGCACCTTTGAATTTAATATGGAAAATATATGGTTCCCGAAAATTTTGCAGGGGGCAAGGCTCTCAAAGAATTAGCTCCCCGCATCATTGGGGGGAGAACGTTATGTATAGCACTTTTTTTTTAGATAATTCTAATTATTATCTTATAGTTGACTTGACATTCACCAATTGAATGATTATTATTTATTGAAGAGAATAAGATTATATAACCATTGTCGTTGCAGTAATTGGATTCGTTTGTAGTACTTAGTTGTCGGCGGATGGGGACTTGGCGAGGTTGCCGTTGCGGAGGTGAAGGTGGAAGTTGTTGTTGTTGTTGTTGTTGAAACAAAACGGTATTATTACTCTCCTTCTTCCTATTTGGACCATTATATGGATTAAATTATTACCCAGCTAGCTAACTAAACTATCCTTTTATTTTTGACTTTAATTAACCTGTAGCAAATTTACAGGCTTATTTACAATAGAGATTTACTACTAGAATTAATAGAATGATGACAAGAATTTTTTATCGTAGCTTTAATAGATTCGCACATTAGGTCCTCGTGCATGTTTCAGTTTCCTCGGAAGGTTGGTGGATATTAGTTTGATTGGTATTTTAGTGTAATAATAATTAAAAAGTGTTCTAGAATGATGAATGATGAATTATCATTTGTTTTTCTGGAATGAAATATGTTGTAATCAATTTTAACTTTAACAAATTATTCAGCTTTATTGGATCTTTATAATTACAAGTAAATTGATAATAATAATAATATGAAGAAATAATTTTGATAATGAAAAATCACTAAAAAAAGGAACGTTCTCAGAATTATAGAAACCTATCAGTCATCAACTATATAAACTACAAACTTTACAGTTCTTTTCAATAAAACCGGAGAAACCAGTAGGACATCTTCCCAAACCAGAGATGGCTGTGGAATGCTGGAGATATAAAGCAAAGCATCACACAAGTACCAACTCTC